AAAGTTTACTGAGATAACAAATATGGGGATTCGTGCCATTAGCACCCCCCGTATCATCAAATTTTCGTGAGAACTGCAAGTCAGCAAAATAAACGCGCACAAATAAATATGACGACGCGTATGAGTGTTGGTCGAATTTTTAGAACAGGCCTTGGGCAAACGATTTAACATGGGTATGTATTATTTCGATGCAATTTTAGACTCTATTTCGGGGCTTCAACTCGCTGCATTTCATACGAAGCCCGAGTTTTTGCATGTCTATTTATGATTTTCTTTATAGGAATATTTCAATTTAAATCTCGTAGCTCAATTTATGTCACGAAATTTAGTTATACAACTATATTTTATTCTTTCTATGACTGTAGCCAGTATAGGCAGACGCGTTACTTTATAAATAACATGAAATATAATATCCTCGTGCAGTATAACATGCAATATCATGTCTATATATAAATGTTTGTCTATAGTTTAAACTCTAGTTCCACATTTATAGCACGCTCGATCGTCTATATTAAATCTATAATTTCAACCCTAATAATATAAAAATATAATTTGCGTGCTGTATAGTCTCATAGTACATACAGTCTGTGAACAACCGTCAATAGGTGTCGCAGAATTTGACAGAATTTTTTGTAATGTTGTTTTAATTATTTATTCATTTATTCATTTATTGAAGGCCTGCATATTGTAGCCTGTGCACATGCAGACAGCCGCAATGAGTTTTACTGATATGGATAGTTATATATGACTTGCATGAATGTATAAGAGATATTAAGATATTTGGTTTTTGTGCCGTATTAATTGAAGTAAAAGGATAATAACAAGCGCGAAGTTTGCTGATGGCATAATACTATAAATCGAGATATACTAGCTTTTAATAACAAAGCCTTTGTTTCAATAAATTTAATTGAATTCAAGATTAAAATTTATTATGTCTTAGGTACAGTTCGTAGGTCATCGTGTTACATTTATTTCAATACAATGTCAATGACAATGTTTGCGTTTATAAAAAGTTGCCAAGTTGGCAAATTTTACTGTTTAATTTGGCAATTAATTAATGTGTGATGTGGCCGAATTTTCGGCCTAATCTTATCAAAGGTATAATTTTGTCTGCGTTCTGTATATTAAACAAATTGAAATGCTACAAAATAATATACAGGAATATCGACAAAACTAATTTTTTGATACCGTGTTATGTATATAAGCAATTGAGACATCCATGTACGACATTAAAAATGTAGCTTCCGGCAGCTACTGTTAGCTACGTACGTCACAAACGTAAACAAACGGTCGGATATTTTTGCGACTTGTGGTCTGGTTGGACGGCGAAAATAGCTGTAATAAGTTCAAAAGTTCATCTAAAAGTTCAAAATTCCGTCTACTTCAAGCTTACTGGTAATTTACAACAAAATTAATTTGCAACAGTTTTGCATTCGCAAACCGCATCATTTGGACAAATGAATTGCAAAACTATGAACAATATGTTTGAAAGATTTGATATTACAATGGGGATGTGTTCACTTTGGAAGGGAAAGGGGTGTGAGTGGAGAGTCGAGAGTAAAAGAATTGGTGCATTAATATATATGTATATATATATATATATATATATATATATATATATATATATTAATGCACCAATTCTTTTACTCTCGACTATCCACTCACACCCCTTTCCCTTCCAAAGTGAACACATCCCCATTGTATTGCTTGTGACAAAAATGCCATCAACTGTAACTTTTTCGAGTTTGGCTGGCCGTTTACTGGAAATAACTCAACACTGTAGCGGTTCGGTTGCAGATCTGCGGTTCGCAATTGCAGTTCCTGCGACAATTTGATCACGAACTGCAAAACGAATGTGTTGTGTTCCGACGCTTTCCGAATAATATAAAGTAGACTCTGCCATTGATCTATCACTATCAGAACTCACTGAACAGTTTCTTCTTGCTTCTACTGTAGATTGGACCATCTTTAAAAAAATTTGCTGAGGACAAGCGTTTTATACTCGGAAGTGGCTCTGCGGGCACGGCTGTTTTTTCCGGCATCTTGAAAGATGGCAGTGAAGTGGCTGTGAAGAGAATGTTGATACAAGCGTGTAAAGATACAGCTGAAAATGAGAAAAACATCTTAAGTCTCATTAACACAAAAAAATCACCATTTATAGTGAGTTATCGCAATTTTCTGAAGGACAATACTTTCATGTACCTGATTGTTGATCTCTGTGAAGAAACATTGGATGAATATGTGCATTTTCAAAATATTCAACATCTAGGAATACAAGGTCGAAGAATGATCAAAGAAATGTTAAATGGACTTAAATTTCTTCACGATCAAGGAGTTTTGCATAGAGATCTCAAACCATCAAATATCCTGCTTGACGTCAAGGGTCACATCAGATTGGCAGATTTTGCAATAAGTCGTGTTCTAAACGAAAATGAAACCACTGTTCACACTGATGCGAAAGGAACGAGAGGCTGGATGGCTGTTGAAGTTATCGAGACCTTAAATAAAGGAGGTAAAGGACGTTTTAAAAAGAAATCTGATATTCAAACTGCAGGAATGATTGCCTTCTTCATTTTAACCAAAGGCGGACATCCCTTCGGTGCTACTGTGTATGATCGAATGACAAATATTAAGAACGGAAATCCAGTTAACTTGCACGACCTTGATGATCCTGATGCTCGACAGTTTGTTTTACGCTTGATCAGCCACAAGATTGATGCCAGACCAAATGCTCATGAAGCATTGGCGCAGCCTTTGATGGATAATATACATTAAGAAGGGGCATTTACAATTTTTGACACAAACTATGGGACATTTGCTGTAATTTCACATAATTGTAAAGGCGTGGCGCCCCACGGTCCCCCAGTTCAATGTTGTGCAGACAAAAATCTGATGTTTTGTTGCGAAAAAATGTATCAAGAAATAGTATAATATAACCGAATGCATGTAAAACTAGATTGTCCATTGCGATGTATGTTGTCAAAGATTGTAGGCCACGAATGTTAGACCAAGGGCTTACTGTAGTGATTGAAACGACAATTTTAATTTTAATATGGTTATTTAATCATATATTAATATTATTGGAAGTTTGTAAGTGATTTTTCCCTGCGATTATATTTCTCTTTCTCGCTTTCCCACTATATATTTTCTAATTTAAAGCGAATCAACAGTGCTGAAACTAATTGTTTTTTGAGCAACATTTTGCATATGTTGAATGCTTTGGTGTGCATGCTTTGGTGTGCATGCTTTGGTGTGCATGCTTTGGTGTGTATATTCTAATTCTTCCAGTCTCAACTACATATTACAGTTCAACTGAAATGGCTGTGAAACTCCAAATTGGCTTATACACATGGCCAAAAATCGCTTTATTCGCTTAATTAAAATTCTGATGATGAATTCTGCCACAAGATGCACGAACTTCACACTCTATAGTTTCCTTACGAAGTTAAAATTGACTCATTAAGACTGGATTTTGACAGTTACTAAAACTGTCTTTACCAGTGTAGGTAATACTGAGTGGTTATATTACTACCTTAAAAAATAAGCAGAAACTCGACGTTTCGAGTTTCTGCTCATTTTTTAAGGTAGTAATATAACCACTCAGCACAGCATTCCTATTTTGACAATTACTATTTCTTGACATGGAAATACGCATATGGATTATATAAAGTCATATTTTTTAAATAATCACAAAAGTTATTCCTGTTGCATTGCTACGGGATGGCGTTTCAATATAATTGATAACTTGTCTTATGAATTATAAAATTATTCTGTGACTCTTCTGATTTGTATTGGTATAATAATGTGGTTTCGAGTGCAATTTTTAAAACATGCCCGAGCGAGTTTTTTCAAAGATGATGAAAATTACACGAGTCCAAATGGCGAGTCTTGTTTTTTGAGTCTTGATTAGTTTTTCCAAATTGTACAAGAAACCATACCAAAGCTTTATGTTCGATGTCTGAGTTTTTTAGTCTGTTATTTTTTCGGCTCATGAGCCAAATTTTCGTTTGTTTTCGGCTAATTACCAGGCCCCTTTATTACTTACAGGTAAACTACGCCAAGCGTACGTACTTTTGAGTTTCTAAATTGATTGCAATCTCCCAGCCAGCAAAAGGACGTCGAAACAACGTCAGAGGATGACGTCGAATCAACGTCGAAAAAGGGTTGAAAACGCAAACGACGTTGAGAAATTGACGTCGTTTTAACGTCTGCAAATCGACGTCGTTTCAACGTCTAGAAATCGACGTCGTTTCAACGTCTAGAAATCGACGTCTTTTCATCGTCTAGAAATCGACGTCGTTTCAACGTCTATGAATAGACGTCGTTTCAACGTCTGGAAATCCATTTCGTTTCCATGTTGCATTTTCGACGTCGTTTCGATGTTTAAAAACAGGTGAAAATCGACATGCATGTTTCTACGTCAATTCGACTCAAACCCAACGCGTCTTGGCTTCGGCTTTCCCTATAGCAAAAGAACACTCGCCGGACATTTTTTCAAAATATTTATTCAATTAACATATACATTGATACACACAAAAATATTTAACATAAATATAGTTCATTTTGTATACTATATAGATGCGTTATCCAGTCCTATTTCAGATCAATGGTCCCACCGCCAAAAATTCAAATACAAAACATCACACTTCGATGATATATGGGGTGGCCTATGTTATATTAAGGGCGGTTCGGTGTCCTCAATGTGTAACTGGAGTATCATGTAAATCCAGTGAACTGAACTAGCGAGGCCCCTACGCCGGCTACGCGGAAATTTACTGAATATATTTAAAATTTTATAATATGTCAGGCAATCATTTTTTAATTCCGGCTTATCAAGTGGTCTTTCAGAGCAAATTTTAGAAACGTTTTATCATAAAAAGCAAAGTTATTTGACGAGTACAAATTTTTCACTGTTACAAGTCAGCAAAAAATCCCGCGTAGAAACACCAACAATTTATATGGACTTCTGAAGGATTTGAACTAAACATAGAATACCATAGACTGCACTTGCATCAATCCTTTCTTTAGTTTTCAAGTGGGGTATTTACCACTAAAAAGAGTGTACAAAAATTGAAAAACGTTGATTGGAAAACCTCCCAAAATTCACGCGTGTTTCAGTATACCTAAAAGAGAACACTCTTTTGCCTCGATCTTGGCTTCACCCAATAGTATTTATATTAAATTTGATCACTGACGCG